TGAAGACATATCTACTTGTGGCTTTCATCTCATCAGCATCAGATATCCAATTCGAATCACTATACCCCTCAAGTACCGTCGGGTACCCAGAATAGTGAATTCCATAGTTCCCAGTACCTTGCAAATAGCGCATCACTCGCTCAACAACATGCCAATGCACATCTTTCGGATTGGAAACAAACCGGCTCAGTTTGCACACAGCAAATGAGATGTCAGGACGAGTAGCACAAGCTAGGTACATTAGTGAACCAACCACTTGAGAATGTCTCAATTGATCTACAGCTGTGCCTTCGAACTTTTGAATCCGCACGCTAGGATCATATGGTGTTGCAGAAGGTTTGCAGTCCGAATATCCAAAACGGCTCAAAATCTTCTCAACATAGTGGGATTGCAAAAGTGTAATTCCACCCTCAGTATCTCTTAATAGCTTGATGTTCAAGATAACATCAGCCACGCCTAGGCCTTTCATCTCAAAGTTATGAGATAGAAAAGCCTAATATCAGTATGTCATCGACATACAGACACAATATTACTCCTTCGCCCCCACCATAGTGATAGTATACACATTTGTCAGCTTCATTAACAACAAAGCCAGCAGATGTCAGAGTTGTATTAAACTTCTCATGCCATTGCTTAGGCGCTTGTTTCAGGCCATACAAAGATTTCACTAGCTTGCACACCTTTTTTCTGACCATTTACTACAAAGCCATCTGGCTGTTGCATGTAAATTTCCTCGTCTAGCTCTTCGTTCAGGAAAGCCGTCTTAACGTCCATCTGATGAATGAGAAGACCATGCGAGGCAGCCAAAGCGAGTAACACTCGAATGGTTGTCAGTCTAGCCACAGGTGAGTAAGTATCGAAGAAATCCTCTTCTTTCTGGGTATAACCCTTGGCCACCAGCCTAGCCTTGTACTTTTCAATAGTACCATCGGGCCTAAGCTTCCTTTGAACACCCACTTACATCCCAATGGTTGGCAACTATAAGGACGATCAATGATCTCCCATGTTCCATTAGCCAAGATGGAATCCATCTCGCTACGGAGCGCATCCTTCCAGTAGTCAGCATTCGGAATGGAACTAGGAGTGTCATCATCCACGAGGTACACGAGGAAATCATCACCAAAAGACTTTGCAGTCCCTCCTGCTCTTAACAGGAGCTTCCTCGTCATCCTCCGTGAAACTTTCATCACTCTTTTGTTCATAATATTCCATCGGAATGGCAGGTTCAGGAATCTCATTAGATTCCAGTCTAGAGGTGCTTTACATATCTCTCATGGGAAAAATATCCTCAAAGAATGTAGCATCCTTAGACTATAATTGTACCGACCTTCTGGTCAGGTACCTCAGATTTCACTACTAGAAATCTATAGCCAACGCTATTCTTAGCGTAGCCCAAATTAACGCAGTCCACGGTCTTCGGACCAAGCTTACGCTTTTTAGGGATCGGCACATTGACTTTCGCCAAACAACCCCAAATGCGCAAGTAAGAGAGTAGTTATTTTCTTTTCCCATTGCTCATAGGGAGTAGTCTCATTATCCTTTGCGGGAACTTTATTCAGGACATGACATGTTGTCAATACAGCCTCCCCCCACCATGCCTTGGATAAACCCGTTGTATCTAACATGGCGTTAACCAAATCTGTTAGAGTACGGTTTTTCCGTTCAGTAAGCCCGTTTGACTGGGGTGAATAGGGAGGCGTCCTCTCATGAATAATACCATATTCCGCACAGAATAAATCGAACTCATTAGAGAAGTACTATCCACCACGATTAGACCGTACTCGTTTTATTTTCTTCTCAAGTTGGTTCTCAACTTCAGCCTTATAGATTTTCAAGTAGTGTAGAGCCTCGTCCTTTGTATTTAACAGATACACATAACAGAATCTAGTGGAATCATCAATTAAAGTCATGAAGTATTTCTTTCCACCTTTAGTCAACACGCCATTTATCTCGCACAGATCTGAATGTATGAGCTCTAACGGTGCCAGGTGTCTCTCCTTCGCAGGTTTGTGAGGTTTACGAGGTTGCTTAGCTTGCACACACGCATGGCACTTAAAGCCTTTGACTAAAGTGAACTTCGGGATTAAATCCATGTTAGCTAGCCGCGTCATACAACCGAAATTTATGTAACAAAGACGTGAATGCCAAACCTCAGATTCGTTCACATTAGAATGAATTTGGTTCACGACTTTATTACAGAAATCCTCCAGGGAAAGGCGGAACAAACCACCACAATCATATCCTTTTCCAACAAATAGTCCATACCGAGATACGACAACTTTGTTGAACTCAAATACTAACTTAAACCCTTCTTTACATATAAGGGAGCCACTAACGAGATTCTTCTTGATGGCGGGGACATGCTGCACGTTCTTCAGTTGCACAATCTTTCCCGAAGTAAACTTCAGATCTACCATGCCAACACCATGAACAGAAGCATGCGAGCCATTCCCCATCAGGACGGAACAATCTCGTGCGACCTGGTAAGAAGAAAACAAAGACACATCAACACACACATGAATATTGGCCCCAGTGTCAACCCACCAATCGGTGGACTGACAAACTGAAAGTACGGTAAACAGATTACCATACCCAGATGCCCCGTCATTGTTGCTCAGAGTGACATTGACAGACTTGGAGTCCTGTCCTGGCTTCTTGTACTTGTTTGGGCACTTGTTTGCCCAATGTTCCTCTGAACCACAAGTAAAGCAACCATCTCTCTTTTTGTCTTTCTTCTTACCCTTCTTCTTAAAGGTAGTATTCTGCTGGAGTGAGTTCTTTCCCTTGAACTTGTGGAAGTTCTTCTGCACCACATTGGCGCTAGAAGAACCCTCTGCCCCTTTCACATGTGAGTCCTTTGCTCTCGAGTTCTGCTCAACACTTAGATGACCAATGACATCCTCTATAGAGAATTCATGTCTCAAGTGTTTGACAGAAGTAGCAAAGTTCCTCCATCTAGGAGGAAGTTTTGCAATAATGCAACCCGCGACAAACTTGTCCGGTAACTCACACTCAAGGAGCTCCAGCTCCTTAGTGATGCACTGTCTCTCATGGGCCTGGTCCAATACAGAATGGTTATCAACCATTTTGTAATCATGGAACTGCTCCATAGCATACAGCTCGCTCCCAGCATCAGTTGCGTTGAACTTAGCTTCGAGCGCATCCCACAAGTTTTTGGCAACACGCATATGGAGATATGCGTCCACAAGCTTGTCTCCGATCACAATAAGAACGACTCCCACAAAGATGGTGGTTGCCTCTCTAAACGCATTCTCCTGTTCAGGAGCAATTGTTACCATGGGAGACACACCACCAACACCACCAACCCAGAACACGTTCATTGCTGTGAGCCACAAGGTGGTCCTGGTCTGCCAACGCTTAAAATGCGTCCCAGTAAACTTTTCGGGTTTCAGAGTAGCGGCGAAGCCATGAGTCGAAAAGTGCCTAAAATAAGGTTTTTGGATTGTTGGAAATATTAGCACTTTTCTGACTAATCTAATCCACGAGTAAATAATTAGCATGGCAAATACGTATGTATCTCATACCGGTACCTAAGCATGTGAGCACGTACAATACATAGAAACAAAACATCTATGAACAACATATATACGGCCAGCACATGAACGAGCAGATAGGGGATGAACGAGTCATGCCCTCCTGTTGGCCAGGCCAACGCGGCGGCGGCGGCAGCAACCTCGGCATCAGCCAAGGCCTTCTTCTTGGCGACTTCGTCGTCAGCCATGGAATCGATGTAGAGGAAGTAGTGGAAGCAGAGGCGGACGAAGACGGGGACGGATCGGGAGCAGTCGCGTCGAGACGCTCTCCAAAAACCTTACTGCCGTTCTCCTGGGCAGGATCTCAAATGATAGGGTTCTGGAGGCACTTGCTCTCCCGACTAACCGTGCACGCGGTCGTCGGGATGGGATCGCCGGGAGCAGCACAGGGAGAGGAACAGTAGATGACGACTAGGGTTGTACGAGAGGGAGTGAGTGAACTGAGTTAGGGTTCACTCCACTGGCCAGGGCCTTCTTATATAGGACGTCGAGTAGATGGGCCTGGGTTCAGGCCCACGACCGAGTCCGCGAACAGTCCACGGTCCAACGTCTCGGACAGTGGCACTTCCGTAAGCGACTCGTTAATTAATCCGAGATTAATTAACCATTCCTGACCGGCAAAAATAAGCTTCAGCTCGGCTCATACGCGCAACCCGCGGCGTGATGAGTCATGGCGTGGCGAGGCGGGCGGCGGAGGAGCGCGCGTGTACAGCTCCTATTCCCAAACTCTCAATAGCAAATGGTAGAGCAGCCCCTATAAAGAGGTCTCACTCTTCTTACTGTAGCCCACCATACTTCCCACCACTTGCCGTACACATGCATGGGCCTTAGAGATTAACCAGGGATTGTTGTCTTATATAGGCCTAAGCCCATCCATAATCCATCATCCCCCTGCCCAGTATTCCTTTCTGCCCCACGTTCTTCGCGCCGTGCAACAGAAGGCACCAAGGGGGTGGGGCTGTGCGCGTTCCCGATTGGACTGGCATCATGAAATGACTATTTGTAAGAAAGTTAACCTATATGGTGGGACGAAGGTCTTTTTTATGATTTTGACCTTGGACAGTTGCATCTACTCGATAGTCCAGAGGCTGTTTCACCGCACACAAATGAAGTTTGAACGTGAGTTTTCTGCACCTGAAGAATTCTGATTATGGACTTGAGGGTTGTGGCTCCTCATTTGGATTTGCAAAACTGATTCCAGCCACATGCCTGTAGATACTGATCCACTTGTACATTTTCTAGGGTATTAACTTGCACAGCCTTTCATATTACAAAATGCAATCTATTGTTTGCGGGACACCAGATGTCAACCACATTGTGTAGCCTGCATGTCAACTGGCATAGATTTGGCTCTGCAGGCCTTTTGAGCAGTGAATGTAAAACCAGCTTTATTTTTGGCAGGCCTTTTTACAGCACACGTTCATTAGTTTGGTACTCCTTTTGCAGTCTGCTTCAGAGAGGTGGCCCGAGAGGGCCATTTCATGGTAATGGTCGTTCTGGAGGCAGTGGTCAGGGCGGTGCTGGCAAAAGAGGAATGTTTCAAGGCAACGTTCGTCCTGGAAACACTGTCCAGGACGGTGGTGGGCGGGGACAGGGTAGAGCCAGGGGGCATGATCGCAGCCGAGTTCCGACCTCTGCTGCGGATCTTGATGCTGAACTGGAGCAGTATCATGCAGCAGCAGTGAAGCAAAAATGAGGCTCTGATGTATATTTTATACTCCCTCCTTCCATATATAAGTGACGTAGTTTTAGTCCAAATTTAAACTAAAACCACGTCACTTATTTATGAACTGAGGGAGTATATACATAGACTGTTGCATTATTAGTTTTCTGCTTTTAGTCGTCAGGTACCATGTTGAGAAAAGTTGGAAGGCATTAATTCGACATTTACATCTGCTGCGCTTTTTATATCCCTACTCCGAGTGCTGGATATATTGTATTACCTAATTTTGAAACATGGGTGTTCTCTTGGGGTTTATTTGGATAGTAAGATTACAAAGAACTAGTTCTTGTTAAATTCAATTTCTAACTGAATCTTGGATATGTCATATCATCTTGTTTGGATTGTCTAACTGAATCTTTAGATATAAAATCCTGAGTTTTGCAAAAGGATCCGTCTAAGGCTCATCGAGATTAGACTTTGTTATGTCACGTCTAAGTGATATCATCCCTTTGTGTGGTCGCTTATGCAGCACACCTTTTTTAGCTTGTTTTGTTGTATTTTTTTTAGCAACTGTTTTTGTTTCTTGTAGGTGTGCTGTTTTTGTCCGGATTGATGCAGCATTTTGTTGGGCTGGGCCTTTTTTTTTACTTTGTATTTGGGTATTTTCATTTCTATTGAATTTCTTCTAGCTGATCGGCTTTGCTATTTTGCTTTGTGTTGTTTTTTGACAGGCCTGGCCAAAAGAAAAGGCAGACTATATTTGCACATATCTGGATAAAAAGAATATAAAAATATTGAATGGATAAAATCATCAAAGAGGGCATGCTGGTAAAAACACAACGAAAAATAATAATACTCCCTCTAAAGTCGTACTAAAGTCTGTGACTTACTTTGGGATTGAGGGAACGGAGGGAGTAATAATTTAGGACGTGTTTACAATGAAAATAATAATATTTCTTTTAAAGTTATGCTAAAGTTGAGACACTTTTTTTTGGATGAGGGAACATGTTTGGTTGCTTGCTGAAAGTGCAACTAATCCCGCGGTAATTCATAACAACATATATTTTATTGAGCTAATATCCATTCAAGTTAAAATTTCAAGATGTTCAATGATTGGCATGACAAGGATTAGTGATTGTGGAACCCTCAAAATGCTAAGGACATGGATTGGCAAAAAATGCAAGACTACATTTTTGTCATCCAAGATTACATGACTCCATCGAAAAATCAATATTATTAAAGAGGATGAGGTTCTGATTATGATCTATTTGCTCAAGTGCTTAGTGATATTGCTTCAAAATATTCAACCACTTTCTCTATCCAAATATGTCCAATACCCTACATTCCAGTTCGGCCTCATCGAAATTTCTCCATCCGGACCCATCGAGTTCATCTGGACACTGCCTCTGTCAAAACCCTAACAAATCGGAGTCATCGATATGGTTCTCGGTCCCATCGGTTTGGCCTGCCCAACCTTTTGTAACCAGTTGCAATTATTTCGGTCTTATGAAGTTTTGCGAAGATGACTTGTCAAACCTTCTATAACTTGTTGCAATTATTTCGGTCCCATCGATCGGTCCCACCGAGACGGTGTGCCAACCTTTTCGTTGCCTCATTACTTCATTTTGGTCCTATTGAGTTGATGTAATCGGTGCCACCGAAACGAGGTTTGCCCTAACCATTGCACAATGGTTCATCCGAGTTGTTCCCTATCGGTCCCAACAAGACCTCCAACGTTTATATTTTTTACACAGGTCGATGTCACCGAGATTTCTGGTCGGTGCCATCGAGTTGGGTCAAAAGTTTGTAATGGTTGGATTTCGTGTGGAGGCTATTTATACCCCTCCATCCCTCTTACTCAGTAAGAGAGCCATCAGTATGTGCCTACACTTCCACTACTTATTTTTTGAGAGAAAACCACCTACTCATATGTTGAGATCAAGAGATTCCATTCCTACCATTTGGACCTTGATTTCTAGCCTTTCCTAAGTTGCTTTCCACTCAAATCCTTCTTCCACCATAGCCAAATCTAAGAGAGAGAGAGAGAGAGAGAGAGAGAGAGAGAGAGAGAGAGAGAGAGAGAGAGTTGAGTGTTGTGGAGAATTTGAAGCACGAGAGCAAGGAGTTCATCATCAACACACTGCCTATTACCTTTTGAGGAATGGTGTCTCCTAGATAGATTAGGTGTCGCTTGGGAGCCTCTGTGACGCCCACATAATTAAGCTACAGTAATTCCCTGCTAATGATGCCACATCACCATGGTTACTGTTGTCAATCTCGCGATGGTTCAAAAACAATTTAACTTCAAATTTAAAATAAGGGCAAACAACAAAAGTTTTCAAACATTAAAACTAAAATGCTCGGGTTGTACCAAATAATGCATAGGTAATTATGATGGAGAAACCACATTGTTATAAAATGTTTAGATGCAATAAATTCATTAGACCATGGGCTAAACAATTGTTTAAATGATTTCAAAATAATAAACAATTACAAACCATTTTATTTAAGTGCTAAATTATTTGTGGCAGTGGCACAATTTGTAACACTAATTTAGGTGCCACTTTTGTATTTTGTTAAAACAAAAATAAAAAAGAAACTAAAGTGAAACATAAAAGAAATAAAAGAAACAAATAAATAAGTAAGCGAAACAACAAAAAGATAAAAAGAACCCCCTCCCCCTGGGCCGTTCGGCCCACCAGGCCACCAGCCAGGCTGGCCCATTCGCCCCTGGCTATAATCCCACCCCGGTCCAAACCCCATCTAACCCTAACCCTCACCCCCTACAACCACACTCCGACTAGCTCTCCCCCCCGATCTGGATCGAGATCGGGGGCTGGACCCGCCGCCGCCGCCCGACACCGACCTTGTCGGTGCTCCCCATTGCCGTCGTCGGCCTGGTCCCCGTTGGCGCCGCCCCGCAGCATCACCCGCTCGCTGGACCGCCTCGCCGGACCGCCTCGCCTCCTCCCCGATGCGCCCCAACGCTCGCCGCCCCGATCCCGTTGCCCCCGACCCCAAGCATCGTCATCGACCGTCACCCTGACGCCATGCTCCTTTGTCCCCTCGCC